TCCACGCTTCCCAGGGTAGCCCCCCGGCTCTTGGGGAACCACTGAGGCACTCTTGGCCGAGGCCTAGGAACAAAACCAGGCCAGGCCCCAGAAATCGTCGTCGTCGTCGTCCTCCTCCTCCGCTTTCTTCCTGGATCCTCCTAAACCCCTCCTGGAGGAAGGAGGCGAAGGCCTCCTGTCCTTCGCAGCTCCTTTGTGCAAGAGCCAGGGCACGCGTGCCACTTGTTTTTTGACCTTTGGGGGGTATTTTTAGGGTATTTCTTATTTTTCGTCGAAAATCCCCCTGTAGGGGGTCACGCCCGACATAACCCCATCCCCTTCGAGACCCCCACCAAATTACCACCCCAGTTGGGGATACACCCCTCGAAACCCGAAGGGAACGGCCTATATCCCCATCCAGGGGGGGAAATCGGCCGGTGGGGCCCAGGCCTTGCCGCTGGGGATGGGGATCGGTCAAACGATACTCATCTCCTGAGCCCCAAAGCGGCCCCTTCTTCAGCGACTTGACTGTGTAACACCTGTGCCAGATTGACCCAGCGGGGTCTCCGCAGAGGGGGCAGACTGGGCTCTCAACCAGCTCATGCTTGAACAAAGGGACCTGGGACCATCAAACTCCAGACCGGAGGGCCCAGAGGGCCCGCTGCTGGTGCAACGGCCAGTGGTCCGAGTGCTCATCCTCCTGGCAGTTTGCTGCCTCGTGCGGTGCCGGCCAGACCCTCCCGTTGGGCGGGCGAGCCTGGGCTGCTGCACGGGCTGAGGCGTCTGGACTCTGTGGGGCGCTGCTGCTCCACATCCGCGGCACTTGGGCCGGCTGGCCCTGTTGCCGCCCTCTCCGCACCGGCCACACCGCCATACAGTCGAGGCGCTGAAGTGAGGAACGGTTTGGGTTCGGAAGGGGTTCGGTGTTCCTTGGGTCATTCCATGGCTGTTCCTCCGGCCCTCCTCGTGAGCGAAGGCGGTCTTGGGGCCCAGAAGGGCTCCGTTCCTTCTTTGGGTTGTCTTATTTCAGCGGCACGACTGTAGTGGGAACTTGGAGCCTGGCTGAACATCTCCTTGCTGGGCGCCCACGAACCCAGGTCCAGGACACTGGTATGAAGGCACTGGCTTGGAGGCACGCGCGCCACTTCGGAGCATGCAACTGCAACCCTCTCGAGGGCGAACCGGCTAGGAGGAGGAGGAGGAGGAGGAGGAGGAGGAGGAGGAGGAGGAGGAGGAGGAGAAGGAGGAGCCGGGCGGGGTGGAGCGGGAAGGTGTGCTGGAGGGGTTGAGGGGGAAGGGGGAGTTGGAGCGATACACGGAGGCGTGGGATGGGAGGATCGTGGAGGGATCACGGGATCTAAGATTCCAAGAGTGGGACCGCGGATTACTTTACTACTCTGGCAGCCTCTGGCTGCCTTCAGGCGACCCGCGGCAAGCTCTCTCAGAACGCTGGCGTATCTCTCTCTCTTTCTCTTTCTCTCTTTCTCTCTTTCTCTCTCTCTCTCTCGTTGTCTCTCTCTATCTCTGTGTCTCTCTGCCTCTCTCTCTCTCTCTTTCTTTCTTTTTTCTCTGTGGAGGAGGAGTTCAGTCATTTGCTGCGTTTTTGCCCTTTTCTCCCCACTCCTCCCTCTTCTCCCGCCTTACTCCTCCCACATCTCTCTTCCTGCTTCTCCTCGTCGCGTTGCTCGTCTTTCCCATAGGGAGCATTCGCGTTCAATCTTCGTAGCTCATGTCTGTGCGATTGCCGTCTGAGCGCTTCCCCCTCCTCCCCCCGCGCGGCCGCCCTCGTCTTGTTTCCTTCCTCTTGCACGCCGGGCACTTCGCCCTTCCACTGCCCCGGACAGCCACGCGCTGGGGCGGGCTGCCTCTGCCTCGCCGGCAGTGGAACAAATGGTTGTGCGATTGCGGTGCTCATCCCCCCCACCGCCTCGTGCTTGCTTTATGCCGGGCGTGTCCCCCTACAGGGGGATTTTCGACGAAAAATAAAAGATACGGACAAAGACCCCCAAAAGGTCAAAAAATACAAAAACTAGTCCCCAGACTATTTTTGGATTATTGTTTGATTATTTTGGGGGTATTTTTTATTTTTCGTCGAAAATCCTCCTGTAGGGGGACACGCCCGAATGCTTGCTTCGCCCATCCATGCACCGACCACTGTGCTGTGACTCTACACCTTGCTCCGTGCGCCCTGGCCGCCCACTCCTCCAACCCCCCTGGGCAGCTCACTTTGCCCCTGGCCTACATTCTTTGGGCGTCTCGAGTGCATGTCTCAACACGCACTACACTCAGAGGAGGAAAAGCTACCCATACCGCTACCCTCCGCCCGTTTTTCCCATTCTTGGGCGTCCCGGGAGGCCCTCGTCGCCACCGTTGGATTCGCCTCGAAATTCTGGTCAGAACGCACCCCGGGAGAGGCCCGTGGAGTAGCGGTATCGGTACCTTCTGGTTTCCCCATATACAGTGTCTCGAGGCTGAGGCCCGAAGCCCACCTGGTTTCTCAGGAGGCCCAGACACCTGTCCGCATTGGTGGTTCATTCGTGCGTTCGTTTGCCCTCTGGGGGTCGGGGATCCGCTCGGGGGCCGTTGGGTCTCCATCTCCGAGCTGGGTCAAGTGGGCGCTCACTGGCCGCCACAAGGCGGCCCACGGTGGCCCAATGCATTCCAAGATGATTTCCCAGGACGGCCCCAGGGGCCACGAGATGCCCCAAAGGAGTTCCCAAGCGGCCCTTTAAGTGGCCCCGGGGAGCCAAAGGCGCAGAAAAGATCACAGGCGATGGAGACTGGAGGATTAACGAGGAAGGGTGCACAAAAAGGGTTTGGGCCCCCCCTCGTGCCGCTGCCATCGGCCCCCCCCTCGGCGCGATGGTCCTCCCCCCCTGTGGGTGTGGTGTGGTGCTGTGGGTGTGGCGTGTGTGGCGTGGTACTGTGGTGCTCCAGGAGAGCTCCGGAGATCGTCGTCGTCGCCGCCGCCGCCGCCGCCGTCGTCGTCGTCGTCGTCGTCGTCGTCGTCGTCGTCGTCGTCGTCGTCGTCGTCGTCGTCGTTACCGTCGTCGCCGCCGTCGTCGTCGTCGCCGTCGTTGCCGTCGTCGTCGTCGTCGTCGTCGTCGTCGCCGTCGCCGCCGTCGTTGTTGTCGTCGTCATCGTCGTCGTCGTCGTCCCATCCCCATCCCATCAGGGGGGGGCCCGTGGAGCCCTGGGACCCATCCCATCAGGAGGGGGGCCTGCAGGTGCTCCACCTCGTCCCTGTCCTCGTTTTCCTGCTCCTCCCCTCCTCCTCCTCCTCCTCCTCCTTCTCTTCCTCCTGCTCCTCCCCCTCCTCCTCCTTCTCCTCCTCCTCTTCCTCCTCCTCCTCCTCCTCCTCCTCATTCTCCTCCTCCTCCTCCTCCTCCTCCTCCTCCTCCTCCTCACTAAACTCAATACACCTCGGAGGCGAACAACATGAGTCGCATCGGGACCTAGACAGCCCAGGCGGGATCATATATGGATCGAGTTGGTCTGAAAGTCCTGCGCAGGTGGCGCAGGCTGTCGCGGCATGGATCCTTGGTGTCGTGACAACGCCCTGGCGCTCAGGGTGACATGAGGGTTCGGGTGAGGAGAATGAGGATGGAGGTCAGGGTGAGGAAGAGAGTGAAGATAATGAGGAGGAGCAGGAGGACTCAGACGGTCATGTTCAGAAGGATGCTGATGTTGATGCTGATCATGATGATAATGAGGATGCTGATGATTCTATTCGTGATAATGGTGATTATGATGCTGGTGATGATGCTGATGATAATGATGCCGACAATAGCGGCAATAATGATTTTGATGATTCTGATTACGATGATGGTGATGATGTTGTTGATGATGATGATATTGATGATGCGGATGAGGATGACGATGGTAATGTTGATAATGACCACGATGATGTTGATGGTGCTGCTGCTGATGATGATATTGATGTTGATATGGATGTTGATTCGGATGCTGCTGCTGACGATGATGATCATGACGATGCCGACGATCATGACGACTATGATGATGACGATGATGCTGATGATGATTGCAATACTCATGATGGTGGTATGATGATGCTGATGACGATGAGGATGATGATGATGCTGATGCTGTTGATGATGCTACCGATGATGATGCTAATGATGATGATGATGCTGATGAGGATGAGGATCAGGATGAGGATCAGGATGAGTATCAGGATGAGGATGATGATGATGATGATGATGATGCTGACGGTGAAGATGTTGACTAGGACGATGATGATGATGATGGTGATGACGATGCTGATTGTTCTGACGATGCTGATGAGGATGATGATGATGATGCTACTGATGCTCATGACGATGATGGCGGTGATGGTGACGTTGACGATCATGATTATGCTTGAGACGGGGATGACGATGATGCTGATGATGATGACGCGGATGTTGATTCAGATGCTGAAGGTGATGAGGCTGATGGTGCTGATGCTGGTGATGATGAGGATGCTGATGCTGATGCTGATGTTGTTGGTGCTGATGCTGATGATGATTATGTTGATGCTACTGCTGCTGCTGAGGATGATGATGTTGCTGCTGTTGCAGGTGCTAATGATGATGACGACGATGATGATGATGGTGATGATGACTATGATGATACTGATGCTGATGATGAAGATGATGAGGAGGAGCAGGAGGATAGTGAGGATGAGGAGGTGGTTCAGGAGGAGGGAGGGGCGGGGCTGATGATGATGCCAATAATGAAGATGATGAGGAAGCTGATGATGATGATAATGATGCTGATGAATATGATGAGGATGCTTATAATAACGATGATGATGATGCCGATGATGATGCTGATGCTGATGATGCTGATGATGACGATGGTGATGATGTTGATGCTGATGATTATGATTGTCATGATGATGATGGTGATGCTGATGATGAGGATGATGATACTGCTGATGAGGATGGTAAAGATGATTGTGAGGATCATAATGTGGTGATGCTAATGATGATGATGATGATGATGATGATGATGATGATGATGATGATGATGATGATGATGATGATGGTGGCGATGATGGTGTTGATGCGGATGCTGATGATGATGCTGATGATCCTGGTGATGATGATGGTGCTGATGATTATGATGATGATGCTGCTGCTGATGATGACGATGCTGCTGTTGGTGATGATGGTGATGATGATGGTGATGATGCTGCTGCTGATGATGATGCTGATGTGATGATGATGCTGAGGAGGAGGGGGAGGTGGAGGAGGAGGAGGAGCAGGAGGAGGAGGCCGATAACGAGGGGGGGGAGAGGATGTCAATGCTGATGGCGATGCTCATGATGCTTCTGTTGCCGACAGCGATGTGGCGGAGTGGATGATAATATGCTGATGATGACGATGCTGCTGATGATGCTGATGATGATGATGCTGATGCTGGTGCTGCTGCTGATGATGATGATGCGCATGATGATGATGCTGATCATGCTGCTGATGAGGATGATGGTGATGATGATGATGCTGCTGACGATAGTGACGACGATGATGATGCTGACTATGATGCTGATGATGGTGGTGGTGGTGGTGATGGTGGTGACGCGGATGATGATGATGATGATGATGATGATGATGATGATGATGATGATGATGATGATGATGTTCTTGATGCTTATGCTGCGGGTGATGCTGATGATGATGACCATGTTGATGCTGATCATGCTGATGATGGTGATGCTGATGATGACGATGATGATAATGATGATGATGATGATGATGCTGCTGCTGATGATGATGATGATGGTGATGGTGGTGGTGGTGATGATGATGATGTTGATGATGATGATGATGGTGGTGGTGGTGGTGATGATGATGATGATGCTGCTGCTGATGATCATGATGATGATGACGCTGCTGCTGCTGCTGATGATGATGATGATGATGATGATGATGATGATGATGATGATGATGATGATGATGACGATGCTGCTGCAGATGCTGTTGATGTTGATGATCATGCTTAGGATGCTGGTAATGATGCTGCTGATGCTGATGGCCGATGAGAAAAACGCGTGTTCTACACCACGCTCGATGTTTAAGGAAACACAGTTTTGAGTCTCGAAATTTCTTGTCCTAGACACGCGGCTGAAGAAACCACCGGCGCTGGCCAGACCCTGGGGAAATTTCGTAAGCTTGATGCTTTCTTGGGGTCGTGTGGGCGCCCACGGGGCCCCACTTGGATTCGGCTCGGGCCCCACTTGGGTTGGACTCGGGCCCCACTTGGGCCCCACTTGGATTCGGCACGGGCCCCACTTGGGTTGGGCTCGGGCCCCACTTGGGCCCCGCTTGGAATCGGCTCGGGCCCCACTCGGGTTGGGCTCGGGCCCATCTTGGATTCGGCTCGGGCCCCACTTGGGTTGGGCTCGGGCCCCACTTGG